TGAGAGGGCATATGGATCCCTCTCACTCCTTTATGCAGTAAATTACCTGAATTTGTTCACGAACCATCTGATTCAAATAGTTGTTTATGACGCATGTCTTGCGTCAGGCGTGATAATTTGGGGTAGCACAATGGTTTGTGCAGTAAACGTGCCGATATACTTGCCATTCAGTAATATCTACTCAGTGGCGCATAAATCGCATATGAAGTGCAACCATCCCGGCCATAGACCTTTCCAATTAAGAAAGGCATAACGTCAGTTAACTCAGTATCATCAGGCGGGACAAAAATATTCCTGAAGGTATAGATAGCTATGTCCCTCTTTCCTCGCAACTTATGTGATTGCACACCTCGGCTACTGATGTAACTGCCGGATTTGTACGTGATGGGACTTATGGGTACTCAGGATTGCGCAAAAACACAGCTACACAAATAGTATAATCCAACACAGTTGTGGCTTTCCCTAAACTGGTATGATCAAACGCTGCGAACATCATGGTAAGAGACACAAATACAGTACGGTCTCTGCTATTTTGGAGAACATTTCAAGCTTAAACGGGACCGAACGGTTATAAGTTGAAGACGAACAGCAAACACAACAACAACACAAAGTATCCAGCCAGTCATGTGACGAAAAACTGCAACTTGTGGAAAATAAATGACAACATCTGGTGAAGCAGCCGTGCTAATTGACCCGGCCAGTCAGTCTGAACTAAAAAATAAAATAACTGATGGGGCCACGTGGCTCCTGGATAGCTGAGTTTATGGCCAGGGTCACAAGAATCGTACGTGGGGATGATGAATTCAGGCATTCGCAAAACGGGTATATGGTGGCTTAACCAGTAGAATCAAGGTGTACGTGAAAATGTTTAGACTCGTTAGCGTCCTTGTTGGAGCGGAGTCGGGCGCCAGTTTATTGAGGGGCAGTTGCTGAAAACGCAAAGGAGGGAACGCGAATGAATTTCCACCAAGTTAGTTAGATGCAAACGAAAGTTCCAGTTATTTAGCACGAACTCGTCTTCAAGGCGGCTGATGCAAGGTAAAGAATTTGCCAGTAGTTGCAATCACAGGAGGGAGTGGACAGGAGTGCATGGTCAAGAGTAGGAAAGGAATCGTTGCGGGTATGTAATAATAATCGGTTTTGCAGTTCCGTGCCTTCGTTGCGCTGGCACACTTCGGTTACTAAGCAGCTTCGTAAATGACATCATGTTTTAGATGATTAGACTGGGGATGTGCGATTCTCTGGGAAATTGGATCTTTGGTTGGCAATGGATGCCCACTGAGGTAAAGCAAATCTGCTGCAAGATCATAGGCACCTTTGTTTGGCTGGAGATCCATTTAGATGCAAAGCACAAAGTTTTAGCGGACATCGACCATACAGAGCGTTTGAAGCTTGAGAAGACGACGCAGTGAGACAAGATCAGCAGGGCTAAGTGAGTTTAAGGAGGTACCGGATAGGATGGGGTCCACAAATAAAAATGACCTAAATTTTCTCGAAGTAGGGGTGGAAAAACAAGTGGCCAAGTTAGATAGGTTGGGGTGGATTTATGCTTAGTAGCACTGCGATCAAGTACTGGAAATGCGTGCCAATAAAATGTCGTTTTAGTTCCCAAAACATGGAAAAACAATGTGAGTATAATGTAAAAATGTACAACAAACACATAATGAGTGATGGAGTTAGAACCTCCAAAATAGTGCACTAGTTTATCTAGAATTTGTCACTTGAGCTGGACAACACCATGATTACCGATGGAGAGTGAATGAAAAAAACGCCACCAGTTCCAAGAACAACACTACGTCAATCAACAAGTGACGCATTAAAAAAGCCTACAGGAGACGGCCTTTAATGCCACTTTTGAAAGAATTGGAATCTCATTACATTATTTCTTTATTTACTCTACGTAACCACCTCTTTAGGCAACATGGTAGATTGTGTCACGTTTGTTTGACAAACTTTGCTTTGGTGCAGCGCAACACCAAATAAGACGGAGGTGGTTATGGCTCTGCAAACTGAAGTGAGTTATGGACGTCGCAGAGTATCTCCAGGCCATCCTATGTACATTTTCATAAAAATTCACCAATCAAACGGTCAGTTTTCTATCATCTGTGGTTTAAAGCGTTGCTCAATAAATAACACGATCATGACAACTCTGAACAATCAGCTGCAGACGGGCAACAACATCACTCTTTATGTAATTCCTGACTTAAAGGCCAAACCCGAAACCACCGGCGATGGGGATGTGGCGGTGCTATTGGTAGATATTCGAGAGCAGAATGTCGCAACGTAATTCTGTGGTCCCCTCCGCGAAGCGTATCTGGCCACCACACCAAGTTTTCATCCTTCATACATGCTACCAGAACTCCAACGTAGAAAGTCACCAGGCAGCCATATTGCGGGTTGTGCATCAACAAAATAATCCATCCACCAGACATTTTGTCCGGTTGCGTGAATTGCTAAAAGTCAGCGTCTAGGGAGGAGGCCCACAGTTTAGGCGAAGGTGATATTTTGGTTTGATATGGGGCGATTGCAAGTTATGGCGAAGACGGGAGAATCGTTGCTGTTCTTTGCGGGGTGCTGTGTTGAAAATGTCAAGCTCATCTATCAAAGAATCCTGAACAGTTGGGGAGGAGCTACAGGGCAGAGTATGTGCGCCGCTAAGAGGGTGCTTAAAATAAGTAATTAATTACAATTCAATAATTATGTGAAACGCTACAAAATTGCTGATGTCTGAAACTTTCATGACACCCGACCTTGAGATTCTGGTTCAGTGCCACCACATAGGTTGGGAGCCGTCGTTACCAAACGTTGAGGGCAAGACCAGCGGTCGAATGATGGCGTAACATCGGCCGAGGCTTCACAATTATGTATCTCATATAGTTTGGGGCTTCCCGCATCTTTGGTGTTTTCAATTTGCCGACAAACCACCCAGGCAGCTCATGCAATTGTTCTACGGGTGGTGAATACGGCTTAAGAACCGAGGGTGAGGATACACCTCTCCCTGATAGGCTGCGTCCAGCCAGCCACCGTTGATGAATTGGAAACAGGTCAAGGACATGCATATTGAAATATTCAGCTTACTGTAGGTGTATGCGGGGTAGCCACGTGAATCGAGAGAATAGGACCATGCCTGTACTATTCAAGGTGCTAACCGTTCGGGAACGTCTTGAAGTTTGTACGAACAACATGTTTCGTAACGTACCGGGGCCACCCTGATGCTACATCATATTTAGCTTGTCGTGCCTGTGTGTCTATATACATGCGTCATCATGCGGTAAACAAAGAAGCAGCTGTCTCACCCTCGAATTTGTCACCTGTGGTAAGTATTTTGTATCACGCACTCGTGCATGACTACTCACAGCACAAAAAGACCTGTTGAACGGCATGTTCCAGGCTAGCAGTCTAGAGAACACGCCTTTTTAAAAGTTCGTTCGCTCTGTCAAGATACTTGTTATAAGCGTTTCTTAAGTGAACCTGCCTGCTCAGTGCATTAATTGCCCATTTGCTCGTGGTGTAGAGAGTGTGGGTACCTAGATTTAAGATAGGGCCGTAGTGAGTTTTCCGTTTCCTAAATTGTAGCGAAATCTATTTGGTTATCATCCGTTGAATAATCAATCACTCGGCCGCTTAATCAGGGTGAGCCATGCGATGAAAATTGTCGGCTACGGCCAGTGAGCAGCCTACAAGTTGAGTACTTAACTGTTTATGGAACTTAATTGCTTCCCTTGTAATTAATATGCATAGAAACGGCACAGCACCATGTGAAAGCCGAGCACCTCTTTGACATCCTGAATGTGTGATGTCATTTTATCCACCATTTACATCTTAATGCTGCATCACCTACCCGTGAAATCCACTGAAAAGCTGAATGGTCCAAGCCGTGGCCCTAAATGCTCGCCTTCTACGGAGACACATGGGCGATTGCCAGATCCCTGCGTCCCACTGCACAAGGGAGGTATATGTCCTGCAGCTTGATACAAAAAACCAGATGCTATAAACAAATTTACTCAGGGCGGTTCGACCCGTGCGTGCCACAAATATTTACATCGTCTTCCAAACTTCGAAGCTGAGATGGCTGTTGTGCGGTGTCAAAACATACGCGGCCGAAAAGGCCAGATTTCACCACGAGTGCACAGCCACGCATATTTCATGCAGACAAATACAACATTGTTGTTGTCCATTTATTCCCCCAGGACGTTGTGAAGTATGACAAACAGAAAGCACGACGCAACCAACTTTAACCGCCGTCTTCACTGACGTATCGGGCCATGACAATAATAGAAACACTCAGTGCGGGCATCAAGTCTGTTTAAAATAGTAACATCCTGGAGGGGTATCAAGTTCTCCAACAAATATGGTCATATGTTACAACTTTGTTCAATAGTTTTCCCCCTTCGAAGTGGCTTTCCTGAAAATTATAACTGCCTGGGGATTGTATCCCGGAGCGACCATAGCCGAGAGAGATTTTTGAATGCTCCGCATACAAATCAGGTTAATTTTGACTGATGTGCTTTATCACCGGAGACTCTTAGGTAATAACTTATAAAAATTCATCCACGGTCCCCAGTGTTAGGGAAAAAGTGTGGTGTGCTGGTACCAGACAAAATTTGGTGAGCAAAGGTGCTCAGAAGATTTTCCCGATACACTACTAGCCATCTGGCATATCTTCCTTAGCGGTTTGTCGTTCATTTGAAGTTGGTCGCAGATGTCAGTCCTCCGTAGCTCCTATCCATGTAGCAGCGAAATGCGAATCTCCACCTTCAACTTCCTCAGCGGGCATTCCAGTTTGATCTGCAGTTACCTGGCAGAACTGTCACTCTGGAAATTCGATTATTTTAGTCGAAGTTAGCTGCATAGATTTATGCAGATACGATATGTACACTTTACGAGCCGCTTTGTTTCTCACGAGAACGCACACAAGTAGAAACTGATGTAGTTGTTTGAATGGATCAACATGCTAGATCGGCCAGTCCATTTTCTGACAGCCGTCGCGGGCAACATCGATGCCGTTCCCTACGTTTGTCCAGCTCATGGTTGACTCCGATAAGACGAGAGTCGTTTATCCCATATCCAAGTTCGCGCTTGGCAGACGACCCATTGCCCGCTGCGACCAACTGGAGAGCTGCTCTCCCAGAAAAAGGGCTCGACTAGACTACCTCACTGAGGAGCAAAAAATTATCAGAAGGTTTGTTGTGCATGTTACTTATTCTGATACCCTGTTAGAAAAATTCTAAACCGTGAGGCAGCACAAAAGGCAAGGGACAAAAAACGGGATTTGATGGAGACGATGGAACATGACCTGATCGCACTTCAAAGAGAAAACGAACAACTGAAGGCATCAAACCTATTCCTCCGGCGTAAGTTCATAGAGCAAGAACAAAAGTTCCTGGCGCTTAAACAGAAAATGCGAGGAATGGTCAGTGCGGTTGAGAAACGTAGGGGTTTCCAGATCGAGCCGTTAGAGTCTGCAGAACTCCTCCCTCGGCAGAAGGGGGTGGCTCTCTGGATTTTGAAACTCCTCATCCTTTGCGCCACACTGGCACCTTGCAACTCCCGGAATCTGATCTTGCTGAACGTTTCGAACTTCCGCCCTCACCGCTTCTGTTCGATGGACAGGTTGTTGAGGTATCTACCGAAGAAGTGGCGAACGAAGCCGAAGCACCTGTTGAACCTCGACCCACCTGTGATCTAGTCTCATGGGTTCATCCAGGTAATCTATACGACGAGCTGTTGGACTGTCTGCAGGACGAAACTATCCCGACTCCATCTGTTTCTCCGTCATCTAATTCCTCGGAAGACTTCGAAGATCTTATGGAATTTCTTTACCGTGACTTATCTCCAGGAGCCCTCTCTTCCTTTACCGAGTAGGGCAACCTGACAATGTACCCCTCCTCTGTATATATTCCACTGACCTCATTACACTTTCTTATTCAACCATTTCTTATGAAGCAGCTAAAATGGGTATGTTAATTCCTGCCAATTAAACCGCCCGTCGCCTCGCTCCCGATACGCTTGATGGGATCGTCAAACTCCGGAGATATTGGCAGTCGGTGCGTTGCACATAAGAACTGGTTGTATATGTATTCTGTTAGTCAAGTCGTGTCCAAAAAATAACCTAATCCACAGTTATTCGCAGTTATTTTCCTGTCCTAATGTTTTCCGGGTGAAATAACCCAGGGCGGCAAAAGCCTATGCGAACCTATATTTCAGTGGTCTGGCCCAGATGTGCTATCGGGATAGGGAGCGTTCGTTAGAATGTGAGATCTGGAGAAACAGTATGAAGAGGATGGTGTATAAGATATGTTTAATTCGGTCGCGTTGTTCATGAACCCTCCTTGTTGCGCAGATCAAGTACTTGGGTTAAATGTGGACATCCAACGTGGTTGCGACCTAAGTGTCGTAGTGGTTATGTACCAACGGAAGATGTGTTTTGTTGCTTGAGGTTGATTATGTGAACTAAGCTTTTCGCCCATGGTTCAGGTGTCTATTACCAGTGAGCTGCCCCTCTGGTGGAAATTTCAGGTGGCTACTGGTGATGATCTCATGTCCACGATGTGAAGAACCGGTGCGATTCCAAATTCAGAGAATCAAGTGGGTGGGATGGATTATGCATCTGGAAGTTGTCCCACCTACTGAACGTATCTAGATGTATCTGCTCAAACGGTGGATTGGAGGATCTCTGCAGGCCAAATCACCTGGAGTGCGCAAAAGTCCCGAGTCGAGTGTTCGGAATGGAAATACACGAATAGCTTACCGTAGGGCTACACATCGAAGATCGTAGGCACCGGTCTGCAAGTGTGTTCTGAGGTACATCGAGCAGTGGAAATTTGTGGGAAGTAGGATAGTACTGCGGTTGAGTGTCTGGTGTTTTCTACTTGCCAACCGACCGGTAAACGCTGCATCTTTGAGAAAACGTAGTTTGAATTACAAGTGGCTAGAGGATATCCGGAGGCGATAGGAACTATCGGTAAGTGAAAGGAATGCGGGAGAAAGCTGACATGCATTCTTTTGTACTAGCTGAGACCTGTAGAGCCATCAACGAAATGTCCCGGACTATTGTGACCCGTTACGGTGGATAGCTGTAGTGGGCACGAACAGCATGTCTGCATTGTTAAATAATGTAGGTAGGTGTGTTGGTTGTCATCACCTGGAGGAACTACAGTATAGTGACTAACAGCCTAGCCCGCTCTGACTCCAAAACTCGAGCATTTCGTTCAGTCCTCCAACAATTTAACCCATTTGTTGAATTTTCAAGTTCGTAAGTGCATCTGGCACACACATTGCGTGGAGAGCTCTGGTCACCGTTTTCTGGGTGTAACAGATAGGTGCAAACCACTGGGTGGTCGACAACCTGGGTGGGTCCCATTAACCACGCCTATCCGTATAGTCTCACCGGTAAGTCAGCATTGCGCTTGTCCCGGCTCAAGCTGTGCCGTATATCTGGCCGATCAGATGACCAGTACCTTCTTGATAGCCTGACTCGTTTGCATCTGCCCTAAAATAGCACAGTCGAGTTCTTGTTTATCGTATCATGCCGATAGACACCCATACGATCTTGGATGCGCCAGAGACGTATGAAAATGAATGATCAGTAAACAGTACAATACCCAGTTTTTGAGGATGCCATAGAGTCAGTCGACTAAACAAAGAAAAATTCACCCTACGGTATTCCGTGTGGGTGCCTGGCTCTTTTTGAAAGGAGTGTTGGACACAAACCCTTGAGAGCGTGCTGTCCTGGTTTACAACTCGGTTGGCCAGGAAGTGTTCTGTAGATGTTTTAGAACTGATGGCCGAATTTGGTGGCTTTCCCCTGGACACAGAAGTTGGCTTCAGTGAATTGGGCCGATATTCTTGGGCTGACACCCATGTAGCAGCTGTCGTAGCGCAAGTGACATGTGCATCTGTGGACGCCTTTTCCGCCGTTCGATTGGATAAGCTTTATAATGATCTGCGGGTTTTAATGCACTCCACTCTTCCTGTCTCCAGCAGTAGTTCGTTTATTTGTGTTTTTGGCCTGCTTGACTGCGGTCCTCAATGTAGGTGATGTAATCATCATCAGAGACTGCATCATCACTGTTGACACTGGCTCTCCATTGCCGTACAGCCATAAAGTTCAACTGTACTTAAACCCTTAAATTGAAAAGACAGTGAGAGAGACACTTGGTGCTGGCTTGTTACAACTATTATGAGGTGCCATGCGTCCAGTCAGACACTTGATAGAAAGTGGCCACGCGAACAACACTAAAGCCGATCATCCACCATCTCTTGCAATGCCTCCAGACAAGCGCAGGCGAGGGTCACAGGGACCCTATCTTGGAAGTTGGGCTGCACCAACCAAGCATAAACTGGGCCATCCTGATGTGGAAGTTGTAAGGTGGGTAGCTGAGATCATGCAATCGGATTGGGGACATTGTTGACTGTAGACCAACCTTCAGAGGATTTGTAGATTTTACAACTGACTTGGAAAATACGGATATTGAATTCAGCTCGACAACTACTGGTTCGCCCGAGCGCCTTTGTGTTAAGTACCAGGAACTGAATATTCGTTGAGTACACATTTAAGGAGTTCAAAAACGTTCTTGCTCAATCTGAGTCCACAGGCTTTGACAAGATTAACCTAGCGTCCTTGCAGTAACCAAACATGACTTACCTGGGAGGAAGGTGCGCCAAGTTTTTTCGTGCCTTTTTTACTGACGCTGCATTAGCTTTCAGTATGTCGGACTGATAGGGTGATGCGTGTTACGGATCTGGTGACCACCAATTTGAAAGATGATGTATGTGGCTACTGGTTCTTGAGGTGAACGAATATTTTATGAAGCAAACAAAACGACTGACATAAGAATCACATCGGTTCTTTTAGGATACTTGAGTAAAAGTTACGTGGTCCCATAAAAATTGAGGTTGAATACGGAGGTGTTCTTCTTAATCTGGAGTGAAACGAATGTCAGAGGGGATACTAAAGGGATGAATCAGGGAAGGTGGGTATCCGTATATTTATGTCTTTCTATATGAGGGGAAACGGGATCTTTGTGGAAACTTTTCAGATCATTGATTCTTGCTTTTTCCGGAGGTTTTGAGAGAGTGCCGATAGTTGATTCATCAGCTACTGAAAGTGTTTGAGGAAATGTGGCTTTCTGGTGGTGTCGGGGCTGTTGATTACAATGCTAGTCTGTTTCGTCTTACTGCTGCAGCGGTTTTGAGTGTGACCAAAGGCTTATATATCTTGGCCACGCAATGTTGGATTCGCTTGGTAAATTTATGAACCCAACGGTCTGGACATATTCTTAGTCATGCCCCCGCTTGAAATCGGTAACTCGCATATAGCGTCACATTCGACTTCATGTAAACCACTTCTGTATACAACTATCAATATGTTCGTACGGCGACGGGAAGTCCGTTTTGGATACCATCCATTCACAAAATGTGAGTGTTTGCTCTGGCCCATGATGCTACAGTCGACTTGATGAATAAATTTGCTTGCTTCTTCGTCGGGACTCCTCGCCATCCGTCTTTGCCTAGAATCTAATTTAACCGTGGTCCTTAAGCTGGAGTGCACTCACCTCTCTTGAGGTGCGTGGCAAGTCGACTGGGTTTCTGATTAGCCTGCCATCATGGGCTTGTATAACAATTCAGAAATCAGTGAGACAAGGACAGTAGTAATGAAAAGACTAACCACCACAAGTTCTGCTTTGCTTTTTTCATTATTTTGAATTTCTAAAGGCTCCTTCACCCCGAGCATTACATCCAATGCCAGTTGTGTTCAGTTATGCATATCAACCCCAGATTTATTGCGTTATGTCCCTCCCTTTCCCACTCTTCTTTTTACTTAATCGGTTTTGTTCAGCAGTGAACCATCGGTGCCAGCACGGTTACTTCTGTCTGTGGTAACTGCTGATGGACCCGGTTGGCATAAGCGAAAGCGCGTGCAGCTCAATTTTTAATATTCAGATGGGATCTCCACACATGATCATTACTGTACAGTTATCGAGGAAGCGTTTTGGTTAATAATTTGCTTGAGTGAAGAGCAGCCTGAGTCGATCAAAAGGGAAGATGACTTCAGTTTGATGGGTCGAGTGCAAAAATTTGGAATTTGCAAGGGAAACGGATCGTCTTCACCCCAAAGGTTTTTTAGCTTAACAGAAAGGTAATGGAACGTGGTGTTGGATTACGCTAGCGTTACTCAAGACGATGGGGGTAAATTTTGCTGAGTTTTTCGTACCTTGAGCAAAAAGATGTGATCTCAGGTAACCGGACGGCTATTGTCTGTCATCCAAGATTTATGTTTTAGTCCCCTTCAACGCAAATGAAAAGTCATGAGAACGCATCTTGTGACGTTGCTAATGTAACTTCAAACAATTGGCGCTCTGTACTTTTCGTACTGCTAACACTACTCTTGTAGGCGAGTCCGTCAACTAAAACACATACCTTCATTAGGGGGCAGGATCCCCATCCCAACTGAAGACTTGAGTCCTGACTTTCTGCAACCCAGCTGTCTTAGGTATCAATAATAGGCTTAAATTGGACGGCACTAATGATTCATTACATACATTATGAAGACGTCACAATTATCACTTTCCCTTCAGTGATTGAAAGTGACCTTACGGCTTACCGATTTTATATGATCACCTCTGTACACAGTTTCATACAATAGTTTTCATGTGACTACCTAAGACGTTCTCACTGTAAAACGCA